CATGTCGTTCTTTCTCCTACGACATGCCTTGGAGGCGCGCGTCCGACCCGAACATATACACCATTATTGTAGCGGCGTGGCCAGAAGCGCCCGCCACGATGCATATCCTACAAGATGTCTCGGTGCGCGCGTCGCCCTTGGGGGGGCGACGCAGACACAATAGTAATCTTAGTGGGCCCCAGAAGCAGCAGGGCCGGTTTTTCACCGTTTCCGAAAAAAAATGCCTCTTGACACAAAAAAATAACGGCGACCGGAAACGGCCAAAAAACGGCTACGGGATTGGAACCGGAGCCGGAACCAAAAACACCAGCGACGGCACCGGAACAAAACGGCGTCGGAACCGGCAACGAAAAGTGAACACACGGCCTTGTCGTTTCCAGAGATCCGATGTCATGATTTTTTCAATACGCGGTCCCCGGAAGTCTCGACCCATTCCCCAGGACCGGTTTTTCATCCTGAGTTGTTTTTTGACGCCCCCGAGGCCCAGCGAGGGCCCCTAGGGGCCGAAATTTAGGAAAAGCCTCCCGCCTTGATTTTTTCAATGCGTTGGATCTCTGGGTTTCCAGGGCCCACCAGGGTACCAGTATTTTGGAGTGGCGCCGAGTGAGCCTCCACGGCCCCAGCGGCCTCCTCGGCGTCCGCCGCCCCGGCGGCCCTCTCCGCGGCCGCCCCCGCGGCGGCGGCGAGGGCCGCGGCCGCGGCCCGCGCGGCGTCCTGCTGGGGGCCCAGCAGCGCCGCGTCCAGGGCCACCGCGCGCAGGGGCGCCAGCCGGCCGTGCAGCTCGGCGCCCGCGCCCAGGACCTGGAGACCCAGAGATCCTCCTCCTCCTCCTCCTCCTCCTGCTCCTCCTTCTCCTGCTCCTCCTCCTGCTCCTCCTCCTCCTCCTCCTCCTCCTCCTCCTCCTCCTCCTCCTCCTCCTCCTCCTCCCCTCCCAGGGCCCCAGGCGGCGCCCCGTGAAATGGGAGCGGCCGTTCTTGTTTGCCCGTTTCGGCCTCTCCAGGGGCCCTCGCCGGGCCTCGGGGCCGCTGGCGAACGAGGCGGGACAAAAAAAGCCGCGCCCAGGGAAAGGGTCCGAACCTTTGGGGCCCACTCGTCGAACAAAAATGGGAACAGCTGGATGTCTGGAGAGGTGATCACACACAAAAAGGCTGTGGGGCATGTTCCTGCATATGCCCGACCGCGAGGGTGGAGCGCCCAGAACGTCCCGGAGGAGAGCGAAGGCGGGCTCCAGCGGGAGGCGGCGGCGCAGCCCCCAGGATTCGGGAGCGGACAAGAGGGGGGTGTCCAAGAGGGGGGGTTCAACTCATGACTGGCGGCATGTGCGCGGCCCAGCGTGGGGGCCAGGGACGTAATGAAATCTGGGGAACTATCATGGCCCCCGCCATGATATCCCCTAGTCATCACCCCCCTTTTTGCCGCCCCCGCCTCCGAAGGATAGGAGGAGAGGCAGCAGCTCCACGAAAGCCCCCCCCGCGGCGCGCAGGAAGCGCTCCCCACGGCATCGAGCCGGGCAGGCGCTCAGGGGCAGGCGACCGTGCCAGCCAGGCCAGGGGTGCCCCGGGCCGGGGACCTTCGAGCGCCGCACCGCCGACGGGGGGCAAGAGCTGCGAGGGTCGACTTCGGGGGCAGCGGCCTGCCAGTCCTACTGCCTGACTGCTGCATGGCGCCGGCGCTGCCCCCGCTCCGCTCTCTCGCCACCTCATCGGGCTGGCCACGCCCGAACTGGTCTGCCTGGTCCATGACGTCAGGGCCAACTGCATACGGCCCTGGCATCGACCTGCACTGGATAGACTTCTGCTCCAGGTCCCTGCCAGAATAGGCAGACAATGATGCACCCGCAGCCGCCAGAGAAGACCACCTCAGGCATGTGCTCAATACCTCGTCGGAGGAAGGGCGCGTGAGGGCTGCGGGCAACCTGGACCTGGACGCATGGACCTAGGAAAGGACGTGCCAGCAGTTCCGCTATGCGCACCTGGTAGAATGGGCCATCTGCCAGTCAGACGACAGCCCCGCCGCTTGAAATGACTCCCGCCCGGCTCTCCCCAGAGGCGTCGCCAAGGTGCCCGCGTGGCTGGACGAGGACGACCTGGCAGTCTTTCTACAGATTTGGGGCCCAAGGCGCTACGCGGACGTCCCCTCCTGCAGCCAGGTGCCTCCTGGCCGGCGCACCGAACACCCGATGTCCACCACGAGGCACGCGTTCAGTCCCTGGCGAGGCCCGACAACCTGGCAGCGGTGCTGCCTGACCTTGCGCCGCTGCCGCTCCCCGCTTTCCCCAGCCTGAAACGTAGTAATGTTACCGACCTGGACAGAGAGATGGCCCTGGGGCCAGTCCCGGAGGTGGTGCACCCAAGCACCCACGTCGCCGCCCGCACTGGCGGCTCATGGCTAACCGTGCGGGATGGGAATAGTGAGCTGTACCTCGCCTGGCCCACCAAAAGAGGCAAGCCCTGCGGGGACACCAGAGGCGAAGCAATTTTTGTATCCGCGGGTCGAGAGCGAGCCTCTTCCGGTCGAAGCTAAGCGGGCTGCGCGCAGCTTTAATTGACAGAGGGGGGAAGGCAGAAGGAGGGGCCTCACGTCAAGGCCAAGAGAGGGCAACGCCCAGGAATCAGGCGGTGCCGAAGGCGATGTGCATGCCCCGAGGCGAAGCAAGCAATCCCGCCCTGGAAGCCGCGCAGGCGGCTGACAGCACAGCCGGGCCCCCAGTCACAGACTCGCCGTACGAGATCGAGGCGCACTGGGGACCCACCCTGCCCAGACGAGGGGAGGCAACTTTGGTCCGGCAGCTGGTCGCACTGGAACCAAGGACGCGACCGCCAGTGGGATCGCACCGCCTGGGCAGAGGGGGACACCAGGGGCACCAACGGCTTGAAGAATTCGAGCGAACGCCCAGACCGGTTGTACCGTAACCCAGGGCGGAAATCTAGTGCGAACCGCAGTGGCGCCGACAGGACAACAAGACTGAGACGTGGGCGGAGGTGGTCAGCGGCCTCAAGGGGACGTGCGGTGCGCCCTTCGTGGAAGGATGGATGAAGGGACCCTGGGACACACAAATAAATAAACACAAATCACAGGATTCCCTATATTTCCCCAGATTGTCTGGGCTTTTCTCCTCCCCCACTTCCATATTTTCCCATATCTTCTTGGGAATCGACGATTACTTGTGTCTTTGTGTTTCTTCCCTCCTCAGTGGAACAAGGCCTGCGATCGGAGGGACGGGAAACGCAACGGCAATGGGACCTGCAACCCCATCGGTTACGATGCCTTCTGCCCAGGCTCTGCTGGAGGAGCTGGCCAGCATTGGCCACGACATCTGGCGCCCCTATAAGAACCAGCGCCTGGAAGTAAATTAGGACACTGTCTGGCAACAGCAGCAGAGCAGACACGTGCAGACGTCCGGCAAGGGGCAGGGAGGCACGAGGCACAGTGAACCCCGCCTGCGTGGCCTGTGAAACACGGAGGCCCCGACGGCCCGCGAGGGGCCGCTGGGGCCTGCAACACACTACGCGCACAGGGTCCCCACCGGCATGCGCACCAATTAGGTGCTTCCGCTTACCTGGATGTGCTGGATCCGTGGGGCCCTCCACCTCAGGGAGCCCCGCTCTGGCGATGCGTGCAACCTGGCCGCAGGTGGCTGTTCCACCTGCCCGGACTCGGCGCGGGCCGCTAGCCACCTGGCCGTGCGCGACTGCGGGGAGCTTTCCGCCGCCCTGGCCCCCCCCCCCGGCTTCCGCCGGCGGAGGCGGCCTCGTTGTGTTTCCGCCGCCCTTCCGCCGAGAAGGAGATGATAACACCTTCGGTCCTCGAAGGCAAGGCCCCTTTCTGGAACGCATCACATGTGCTGCACGCCGTGCGTGTTACGCTTGCAGCTCCTGGCGTTCTCGTTCCTGTCCACACGCTTGTGGCTATCACAAAGCCGCCTGCCCGACGCCCACGCTCTTGGGTGCCGTTTTTGACGCGTCTGGGTTTGAATCAGTAGCAAAATTAAAAGAAACACAAACAATAACAATGATATAATAATAGCAAGACGAATAATAATAACATTGAAAAAAGAAACACATGCCATAAACATAAGCTGTTGGCGCCCCGCGCGGATTTCTTGGAACTGCGCTGGGCCCCCCTCCCTCGCGCGCGGAGCGCGCCAGGGGCCGCGCCCGAGGCGCCGCTGGCGGTGGGGGGGCCCAGCGCGGACCCATGAAATCCGCGCGGAGCGCTAAACGTTTATGTTTGCGGGGCTTTTTCTCCTCCGAAGAACGCGGAAAGAGGGAGGGGACAAAGACGACCCCAGCGATTGGAACAAGAGCTAAGCCCTGTGGACCCCCGCGAGCAGCCGCTCGTCGGCCGTCTGCGCCTGCGCGACCAGGGAGGCCTCCAGTGCCGCCAGGTCCTCCTGCCGACGGCGCGCGCACGGGGGGCCCTTCCGAGTGCTGCTGGGCATGGCCCTGGCGAAGCGTCACCCTGCGGCAGGTTCGCGCGGCGTCGGTGCGCGAGAAGGTCTTCGACGCCGCCTCGACCCTTCAGCCTTGAGCCGATCGCGGCCCCGATCGTTCAAGGCTGAATTCCGTCGGGTCCCCTGGCGTCGCCGCGAGGAGGATGAGGGGGAGGAGGAGGAAGAGGGGGAGGAGGAGGAGGAGGAGGAGGAGGAGGAGGAGAAGGAGGAGGAGGAGGAGGGGGAGGAGGAGGAGGAAGGAGGAAGGAGGAGGAGGGAGGGGAGGAGGGAGGAGGAGGAGGAGGGGAGGAGAGGAGGAGGAGGGGAAGAGGAGGAGGAGGAGGGAGGAGGAGGAGAGGAGGAGAGGAAAGAGGGGGGGGGGGGGGAGGAGGAGGAGGAGGGAGGAGGAGAGGAGAGGAGGAGGAGGCAGGAGGAGGGAGGAGGGGGAGGGGCGGAGGCGGAGGAGGAGGAGGAGGAGGAGGCGGACGAGGTGGAGGAGGAGGAGGAGGCGGAGGCTGAAGAGGAGACGGAGGCGGAGGAAGGGAGGTAGAAGGAGGAGAAGGAGGAGGAGGAGGAGGAGGAGGAAAAGCAGAAGCATAAGGAGGAGGAGGAGGAGGAGGATGAGGAGGAGGAGCCCAGCGTAGGGGGGGCGGCGCGTGTCTCCCCGCCTACAGGAAGGCGAGCGGGGTGGGCGCGCCTGTGACGTCCACCACGACGGAGCCCGTCGCGTCCGCGTGGGCGGAAGGGGCGAAGGCCGCGGGTCGGCCGACGCAGATAGCCGTATTTATATCAAGGGAGGAAAACCTTGATGACCTAATGATGGCGGGCGGCGATGCAGGCATGGGGGAGAGGGGGCGAGGCGAGACAGCAGAGGGCAGCAGCAGGGGGGACTCGAGGGGCGGAGCGGAGGGGGAAACAACGGGCGACAAAAACGATGATACAATCGGGCACAGGTGAGCAGGGAAGGCGGTGATGCGACGCAGTGGGAGGAGAGACGGGCGGGGAGCAAGCATCGGCATGGGCAGAGCTCGGAGTGAAGGACGAGGAGAGGGAGGGAAAAGTATGATCGGCAGCTGGGACACGCGCAGGGCTGATGGGAGAGGCCGAGCTGGGAAGATGATGCGATGTCACGGGCAACGGAGCGACGGGCGGGGGGGAGGGGGCAGGAGACAACAGGAGGGCATCAGGACGCGCCACCACGGTCGGCGAGGTCACTGAGGAGGAGGGCGAAGCTGCCGCGCCTGTGGACATCGATGCCGAGTGTCAGTGGTGTAGACGGCGGAATTGATGTCCGACCGCGGGAGGGCTCGACCGCCACAGGATTACGACCGGCAAGTGGCGACGGCGAGCCCGAACACGACAACGGGACTTGCGATCTAACGCCATCGGACAGCAGTCCAGATTCACGGCAAAACGCATGTGGCGACGGCGAGCCCGAACACGACAACGGGACTTGCGTTCTAACACCACCAGCGCGGAGTTCGCCTCCGAAGGATCCCAAACGTGGCGACGTGCTGCCCGAACGCGACAACGGGACTTGCGCTCTAACGCCGCGGCCCGAGTGGGGCAGGTCGAGGCATCCGACAAAAGGCGACGGTGAGCCCGAGCACGACAACGGGACTTGCGATCTAACGCCGAGAAGAGGCGACGAGGGCGCGGAACATCCCGTCGTCAACGTCACTGGCGAGGACGTCACCCGTGCACCGCGCGAAACAAGAGACGACAGTGTCACTGGCGAGGGCGGCGTCGCACATGCACCGCTCGAAATAGGGGGCAACAGCGCCATCGACGACCTGGAAGCCGCCCTTCGCGGAGCACGCGCGGACACTGGCGAGGGCGGCGTCACGCGTGCACCGCGCGAAATAGGAGACAACGACGTCACTGGCGAGGTCGGCGTCATGCAAGCCCAGCTCGAAATAGGAGACGGCAGCGCCATCGGCGATCCTGAAGCCGCCCTTCGCGGGGCTCGCGCGGACGCCAAGGGGGGGGGGCCGCCGTCGGAGAAGATGGGGGGCGCGTCGGAGGCGTGGCCGAGGCCGTGGGCGTGCATGGAGTAGCCGAACTCGGAGGGCAGGATGGGGCGGAACCGAGCGCGAGAGAACGAACACGGCGAGAGGGGGGCGGGACTCTGGACGTCGGGCGGGGCAGGCGAGTCGCAGATGATGTGTCCTCCGCGGGGGGGCTCGGCGGGGGCAGGCGCTCGATCAGAAAGTCTTCGGTCCTGGGCGAGCGGATCGGCAAGCAGGATGAGGAAGAGCATGTGCTGCTGGATCCCAGCGCGGATGAGGCTCGTGCCGTGCTCGCAGTGCCGCTGTCAGGGTCGGGGGCGGCGGATGACGCAGATGAGGTCGATGCGGCCAGCGCCGTGGGCGTGGGCAAGAGCGTGGCGATCGGCTGGGGCCGAGTGCGCGGACATGAGGGCGGGGTCGAACTCGAGCTTGACACCGCAGGGGTGAGCCTCGGTGATGAGGGCGCCGAGCCACTGGAGTCGGACGGGCTCGACGGTGGAGAATGGATGTGGTAGTCTCTGCGGGCGAGCTGCCTCCTTTCGGTCGCCGACGTAGCCTGAGGCGTGGCCGGCATCGCCGCTCTCGCACCAGCAACCGCACAGCTCCGAATGGCTGCAGGGGAATGTGGCCATGAGTCACTCAGACGGGCCTCATTGTACGTGTTGTAGGCAGCCGCGAGCACAGAGTAGGATTGGCACGAGGGGCGGCGCATGCCCCATCTTGACGGGAAGTCGAGGGCGAAGGGGCGGGCCAGCGCGCGTCGAAGAGCCGACCAGAGGACAGGGCAGCGGGCGTAGTGCTTGAGCGTGTCCCCCTTGCCAAGGCAGCCAAATGCGCAGGGACGCTTCCCATGCGGCGATATGACGCGGGCGGATGTCATCCAACCATCGGACCACGAGCGGATCACCGCCCACGCCCACGAGCACGGACACCGCCGAAGAACGGCCTGGCAGGCGTCCCAGTCCACATAGCACAGGGAGCTGGCGTGCTGGCCAGCAATCTTGGCAAGGCGCAGGGTGAACAGGGCACGGGGAGGACGTGCCGCCAGCGACGCTTCGCGCAATGCAGCATGTGCGGCACGCTGAGGGCGGGGGCGAGAGCGGCCACCGAGGTCCAGCGCCGCCAGGGCCGCGGCGGCGGCCGAAAGCGGCCAGCGGACCAGGAGGAGGGCGACCAGCAGCAGCGGCCTCCAGGTTCTCGACGAGCGCGGGCGCCTTCCAGAAGTTGGGGTAGGGGAGGCCCGTGGCGAGCATATCGAAAGTGGTCCATTCGGGGTGTCCGTCAGCATGTGCCCGAAGCGCTGCCATCAATTGGGGCCAGCATTGGAAGTTGAGCGTGGCGGCGCGAGTGCTGGTGGCGGTCGTGAGGTCTCCCCAGCGAATGCAGCGCGGACCGCCCCAGCGGTCGAACTAGGACCAGGCGTCGAGGTGCAGCGCGCCGAGAGGAAGCCTGAACACCTGCGCAAGCACCGTCAGTTCTGGCTGGAGAACGGACTTCGGAGGCCAGCAGAACTGAGCAACGTATGAGAGTGTGTTGACCGCCCTCGTGTTGTAGAGAATGGCGGAATGACTAGCAGGGGTAGTGCTGTGTCCAATAGCTTGAGCCCTCAAACGGAGCTTCGAAAGTGGCCCACTCCATGAAATAGAGGGGGAGACAGCGGGGCCTAGCCAGATGCCAAGATACAGCAACTGCGAGGTGATCTCGAACCCGATCCACTCAGGAATCTCCCTCGCGATAGCGCCCCGAACGTCCCTAGCCAGCGCCGCGGAGAAGGGGCCAGAGAGGGGAACCACCTTGCACTTCGCCGCTTTCAGGTCCAAGTTAGCCATAGCCGAGGCACATGACATGGCCTGTGAGACCTCTGAGAGGGCCTGGGCGGATCTCAGGGCGCCGCCGATATCATCAGCACAGGCTCTGGCAAGGCCTAACTGAGGGCCCTCCACCTTCTCAGCCAGGTCCACGAGGAACGCGGCCGCGCCCAGGGCGCGCAGAGTACCAGAGAGGGGACAGCCCTGGATGATACCGCTCTGGATCCAGAAGACGTGCTCGAGATGACCCTTGTGCAACGTGACCCCTTCGATCGACGAGTAGATGGACGCAGCGAACTGCGCGAGGGGGCCGGGGGGCCCATGCGGCGGAGGCAGCACATCAGGAAGTCTTGGTTTATAGAGGGGAAGGCCAGGCCGACATCGAGGGGTAACATGGCAGGGATGTCGCGGGAGGCGTGGGGCGTGACAGACAAGATCCTGCTCGGGACGTCCAGCTCGAGGATGTTGACCACGAAGCTCCGACCAGGCATAAATCCGCGCTGGCACGGAGGCGCCGGGGCCTGCAAAGCAGGGCGGGTGGCGCGGTTGACCGCCGCGGATATGATCTTGAGGTCGCAATTCCGAAGCCCCAAGACCCGAACTTTGTCAGGAGAACGAATGCACGTGCGGTCAGCGAGCTCGGCGTCCGTGACATTCTCAGGGGGGAAGATCTGGACCGTGTCCCCCGAACAGGCGAAGAGCTCCTGGCCCTCGAGGATCCACTCGAGAGCCCCCCAGAGAATATCAACGCTAATGCGGGAGGCCGCCCGCGCAGCATGCGGTAGGGCATCGGGTCCAGGGGCAGAGTGGCGAGCAGTGCGAATAGCCCGTCTGATCAACCCCTTCGACGGCGGCGTCAGCGCAATATGATGAGCAGTAGGTAGGTGGCGGCGGAGGTAGACGTCGGCGGCAGCAGCGTCCCAAGACTTCTTGCGAAACACAGGCGCCCAATAAGCAGAGAGCTCACGGATGCGATCCTCAGGGTCGGTGGCGATCCTTCCATCATCCAGGGCGACGCCAGACAGCGATATGCGGCGATTCAGCGGTGACCAAAGACGAGCCCTTGGTTTCAGCGCCCGAAGTTGACAGCGAGTCTGAAACCGATCCCCCTCACGATGTTGCGCAGCATCGGGACTTTTCCGAG